CCAAACTATCGCACTACTGTTGTACGATTGTTGATTGTTTTGCAGCCAATTCAACAATTTAATGCACAACTAAAAATCTCATATAAGCTCATAAGAATCAAAGCAAGACTAAACAGTTGTGCGATAGTTTAGTTTCAGGTGTGTGTACATTCTTAATGTTTTTAAAATAATCATTAACCTATTCCCATAGTCCGTACTGCGTCTCAAAGGCTTAAAAGGTAAGAAAGACTTGACTTACTTTGCTAACTTATTTCAATAGAATGTGTCACCCAGATGCAAAGTACGCTCTGATATAAACACCTTTGAACCTTTTTCCTGAGGTGTGTACAGTGTGTACGCAAAATGAACGTGCGTAGCATCGCCTTGCGTTTGCGGAGGGTCACGTACGTTAGCACTCAAAGAAACACTACAAAAAGATTTTTTTACAAAGATCTCGTTTGTATGAGGCGATATAAAACGCTCTCATCTTTTTAATCCTTACATGTCTGTATCATAATCGCAAGTTGAAGATTATAAATATAATTCGAAATTAAATGACAATTGGTCGTGGGATAGAATTGAAAGACATGTGCAAAATAGAATAATAAAAACAAATTTAATGTCAAAAGACAATATTATTTTTAATAAATATTTTCTTCACAATTTAAAGTTTTAAGGCTTTGAGAACGTATTTGTTCAACGTGTAAGGTAAATCTAGTTTATTTCCCAGTTGTAAATTGCAAACGATAAATCTATTTTCACATTGTGAAAATTGGAACTATAATTTTGTGAGCTGTAGCACTGGCATGCAGTTTTACAACAACCATAGCACGGTTGGAAACATTTGTATAAATTGCACGTGTGATAAACTATTATTTATGCTCGTTTTTGTCGAATCATTTATTTTTATTTGTGACACAGCTTATAACGTTACACTTTCTAACAAAATAATACTACTAACATTAAAAATACGAAAGTTTAGATGGATGTTTGTTAGAGTTTATAGCCTAAACGGCTGAATTGATTTTGATGAATTTTGGTACAGAAGAACAGATAGGCGAGTAGCTTTTGTTTTTTTAGTTCCACGCGGACGGATTTGCGAAAGCTATTTTAATTAATAACAAAATCATTATAACTGACTTACGACCAAGTTGTTTTGAGACTTGTACTCATTTTTTCACGTTGTACGTTACACCTGAAATTTAAATAATGTTGTTATTACTAAAATCACACATATTGTAATTAATTCTAACTTTCTCGATTCCCGCACTCATTTGATAAAATAAGAAAATGATCTTAATTCTAAAAGGCAAATGTAAAATAAATCATTAAGAAAATAATTCTTGATAATGAAATTAAGAAATAAAAAAGATATATACGAGTAAACTGCGTGTCTAAATAAATAATACCATTGTATCTGAGGCCTAACAAAAGCTACAAACGTCCAATCGATGAAATCCTCTCCACCTTTATATTACTGAATTTCAATGCGTAAAACATGCCGAAATCGTTGAAACTGTCAGTTAATTTCTACCTTATTGCGATATGGTTAGAGTACAAAATTGAATTACCGTTAACATTCACGCATGATTCAATTTTAAGAAATAAATTGTCCTTGTGATATCGAAATTTCATTTATTTTCGAAATCGTTTATGTCATACTGATTTCAGTGAGGTGTAAATTTTCGATTTATTTATCCTCTTTTTAAATAACCCTTCACGTCACTTAACTCAAATGGGATAGACAGAACAATGCAATTTATTTGAATAATTTATGTAATTAAATTAAATTATTTATTATTGACTACATTCTTTGTAGATGTGACTATTCCATTTGTATCGTTTATTCTCGTCTTTTCAAAACACTAACTAACACTAACTACTTCTAATGTAACTATGTTCTAAAGAGGGAAGATTTTTGTTTTAGTATGTTTTGAAGTAAATTAAAAAATTACTGAACCGATTTTAAAAATTCTTTCACCATTAAAAAACTAACTTATCGCTTAGTAACACAGTTAATATTTTTAAATTCCACGTGGCTGCAGTCGCGAGTAACAGCTAGTTTACAATAAATCTAATTGTTACTTAATTATTTGAAACTCACAAGGATCTTATCATTCTCAGCTTAGCTGGCTTTGGGTGCTACGAATGCGTAATGCGAGTTAACCGCGACGATATCGGCACGCGGCTTACACTAAATCCCACCTGAAACCATTATTGCTAAGATTCCCCTAAAGGAACGTTTAACAGGTTTTATATGTTTTATTTATTTTACTCGTTTGAATTTCAAACTCACAGATCGTATCCTCATTTTTTTTCTAAATGACAAATATATGAACATCTACTTTTACCAATCTCTTGCAGCCGGCATGTTTGTATTTAAATCATCACCTCATTATACCTTAATGTATATGATGTGGCTAATTTTTCCCGTAACATTCTCGAGGAATTAAAAAAAAATCTAGTTATAATTAAAGACTTTTCCTCAGTGATGATAGAGCTTTCTAATGGTAATAGATTTTTTTAATCTCTCTAGTAGTTCAATTTTAATTATCTCCACAAATTCATATCTTTATTCTTCATAATATTAATCTAAATGACAAATTTAAGTATTATTAAGTATGTGAAACGTTTGAAAACTCATGTTAATTAAGTTTCCTCTCTTCAATTCAGCTTTAATAAGGCGGTAACATCTTAACGTAAGCCCGGACTTAACCTAGCTATTTAACACAAACCATATGTAATTAACTAAGATCCGTAATGTCTGAGCCTCATAAACTATTAATTACACAACTTGCTGATTAATAATATATCATCACTTAACTACAATCAATCCATTTCATAGCTATTAAACTTCACAATATTATTAATATTAATCGCGTAGCAATCGCTAAAGCTATCAAGATATCTTTATTTTCATAGGATTTGTAAAAATATAGCTTTGATCAATTGTTGGCACCATCTTTGTAAGAGTGGTGGAGCCCGCTTTAATATCTTCGCACTAACGGGTCAGCTCGCCCGGTGTAATGCCACGACCACATAGAAAACAGGCGTGAAGTGGAAGCAATTCCGCGTTTCGTCTGATGAGTGTGGTAACGGAGTTCTAATTTAAGTCCCATTCCCTTTCCATCCTTTTCTTAAAAGGAAAGAATGGGAAGGAAAAATGGATTTGACGGTGGAGGAGACGCATAGGAAGGGGAATGTCCTCTTTATGTGCGTCTCCTCCGTTAATTAAGGGTAGGCAACGCATCTGCAATTGCGAATGTCTATGGGCAGCGGTCGCTTACCATTTAGGTGGATTCAGGTGGCCGCTTGCTCGTTTGCCACCTTATATTATAAAAAAAAGATTAATTAAAAAAAATCAAAAATAATTGACAAGTCTAACATTATCTAGTCTATCAAAATCAATCAGTAGATAGAAACTCCGTTTGTAGGAAAACAATGATATCTTATTGAAATACAAATACCGCAGTACTAGTATACTGTAGGTTTATTAATCTCTTAAATCACTTAATGGAAAGCTCTCAGTGAAACAATCCGCGATCCATTACACAGCACGGCCGTGTCAATAAACAAGCTCCAACCCGTTTCCAAGGTGTTTGCAGACGGTTAACGAGCACAAATTATGTTTCGAAGCGAACTTTTATTTGCTTTACTGATTAAAATATGAATCAATGAATTGAATAGCATTTATAAAGCAGTTGAAAAACATCGTCAGGATAAAAAAACAACAAAGAAAAAACTGTGTTTTGTTTTTAGAGGAAGAGGGGCAGTGTTATTTTATTTTTTAAATGCACAAGCACGTATCTTTAAGTACTCGCCATAAATAATACAGTACTATACTAATATTCACTAAGACTGTATATCAATTGTTGCTGGCAACATAGAAAATATGAAAAAATGTAATATCTATGTTAATTTTTGAAAGCATAACCTATTTTTTCCTTGAGTTTTTTTACTTCATCCACTATTTCGTTCTACCAGCTATATAGGTAATCCACTTACTTCCATAAAAAATATCCATCCTAAAGAAATATAAAATAGTAGTTTATATGAGAGAAAATATGAGTCAACATCACTAAATCGATCTCAATAAGAAATATATCAGTCAGTGTCATCATGTCCACTTATTGTGAATTGCTCTCTTAGAATAAAATAAATTGCGAACGGCACTCGACCCGGGTTCCGCCGGCCGCAGCCGCAAAAAACTATCCTTTCGTAATGACCGCTCAATATAGTAAGGAAAATAAATGGCCGAATGTGAAACGAAGCAAGAGTTTTGTTTTAATTTTAAATGTAAACTAAATATTGAATGATGAATCATTTGAATGATGCTTAGTTTAATTTTGTTAAACTTACCGAGAATACGATTAACAATATGAGGGGAAATCCTAAAAAAAATCTCAGTTGTTTAACATTAACTAAAACTGACTTCCATGTCAATCTATTTTAGATCAATAATTTGGAGCCAAAGTATAAAACAAAATAATCTTTGTCAACTAGGTAATGTAAACGTAGAACTTTATTGACGTGTGGATTTTAGTTTTCCGCGAACAGAACGAAACTCGGTCGAATAAATATTGTGACACCTTATCTCGAATCCAATTTTAACACAAATTTCTAACCTAACGTATGCTATTATACGCGAAAACGACTTGCAGCTTTGCTAGAAAAATATTACACTTTCAATTTGTACTGCGAAGAAATAGATTTATAGGATGCAATTTGTTTTGAGAGAAATTGACGCCGGGTATTCCCTTTGCATTCCACATTTAGCATGTCCATTGCACGTAACTGTTTGTAATACCGACGATTCAAGTTATTTCGTTTTCTATATTCTACATTGCTGTTTTAAGTTGAAACACGACTGTACAAAACGTTATAGAAGTAGTAGTGGATGACTCTATTAGCGATGTTATTGTTTCTAGTGTTTAATCTTTGAAAGAATGTAGAGTCAAAGCAATGGAAGCCAAGATGTGAGGATATATAAATAAGTTGGATTCCATTTGCTCCTCAGATTATCACTTAGTATTCACGATGAAAGGACGTGTCATTATTTTCGTGGTTTTAATTGGATTGGCTGTTGTCGCTGCAGCAGAAGTAGAAGAATACAATGGTAAGTTATATGAGTTTTTAATTGAATATTTACTTAAAACTTGACTTTGGTTTTCTTTGTTTTGTAAGTTACATTTATGTAAAACTTATACGTTATAAAGGAAAATAATTATTAAAATAACAGCAACATATCGCCATAACCGTAATGTTTAAGCTTGGGAATTCTAATAAAACGTCCAAGTTGCCCCCCCTTAAGCACGACTAAACAGTTTGACAGATTCTAAAGATTAAATTGTTCAATTCATTTTTTCTTCGCAATACTATAAGGTACAATAACATAAGGGTCAATACTAATTAAAGTAATGTCTTATTACAGAATCATCATTAGTAACAAGACTAAAACGTGAAACGATTATGGTGAAACCTCCGAAGGGCTGTGTGTTCTACGAGTGCATTGCTCGCTGCAGACAGCGCGGCTACCTGTCTGGTGGCTACTGCACCATCAATGGATGTCAATGTTTAGGATAAAACCATTTAGTACTGTTTTATATCTTATTATTTATACCATTAAATTCTGTATGTTGTGTTCTAAATGTACATTGGTCTGTGTTGTTTGAAATTAAATTATTTGTAATACTAAATGATTAATTTATTTCGACATACTTTGATGTCCCCCTAGTCGTAAAGTTGCGGAATTCATAGTCTTCATACAAATATGGAATTGCTAAGCTTTTTAAAGGACATATAAATCTAGATATATAAAATTACATAATACATAGCTAAATGGTAAAGAATGATGATTAAACATGCGTGAGAGCAACGACCATGCTGTGATCAGGTGAAGTCCCGGTGACTAACATAAGACGGGGATTCACTGCCCTATAAGAATAACTTATATTCTATACCTTTTATATTTTTGACTGATTCACTCAAGTAATACAGAATACTCTCAAATTTTTTTAATAAAATTATTATATTTCAACATGTTATTTTATATTAATATTCTTCAAACTACATTCTCAGAAAGGTATAATTAAAATGGCTTACATAAATCTGTGTATATTTTATTTACGTTATACTACTATGGCGTAAAATTAAATGAAATTTATAGACAGGATTCTAAGAATATACATCAATATTTTTTACAATATAATACTTTTTAAATATACATTCTTGTAAATTGTTTTTGTACTAAAAGCTACTTTTTTTATAAATCACAAACAAGAAAACTTAGATAAAACTATTTCAATATTTTCCTTTATTCACCAACGTGTACGGCGGTAAAAAGTAGTTCGGTATTGTCGAAGGAACGATTATTCTTCCCGCAATAGATAAATCACGTATAACTTTCTTCTTTCCCGTTCCGTAGTAATACGCTTGTATGACAAGTTTGGAGCAATAACTCGGGTTGGTAGACCAAATGTCGGTACTGATCTTGTATGTAATGTGTTTTGTTTTAGTAGCGCCACCTGACGGGTTATAATAGGTTCTATCAGCCCAGTCCGCCGCTTGTCGAGCGACTGTGCCATCTCTATTACGATATACAGTAGTCCAGTCAGATGCGTGTTTGTCAAACCATTTGTCTTTAGGAACTTGACGGTTATTATCTTTTATCCCGTGGTCCCAACCTTTGCCTCCGGGCATTTCGAGCACCCAATAATTACTTGTCATTATAGCAGCATGTCCCACCAAACCTCCTATCCCTCGTCCGGTTATTAAAATATCTCCCTTCTTAACCAAATTTACAAATCTCCTCTTATTGTCTGCAGTACTACGTTTTGATATCTTTTTCTGAAATAAGGACTCTTGTGTGTCGCTGAGAATGCCATAGTTGTTCGCAATCAGCCAATCTTGATAGTTTATCGGGTCTGTGTTATTCGTTGCTACATTGTATTCCTCGTACAAGGGTTTGAATATGTTTTGTTCATCTTTTACGAATGAATCAAATGTATATTTTTCAGTATTGATTATTCCTAATTCAACGCCAACATTGTAAACCCTGATCGTGTTATTATAGGTTGAAATTTCATCTGAAGAAAAGATAACAGGTTTAAATAACAACATTAAATAACAAATTTTCCAAATTATTTCGTTTTGCTATAAAAGATTTTATTAAATAAATTATTCTAATTCTTCCAACTTTATCACACTACTGAACATAAAAGCAATGTTTGAAAATTAAATTAAACACAATTTAAAATATCATAATTACCTGTTTCAACCTGATTACAAAGAACTTGCGAGAGAAGTATGAAAAAATAAATTCCACATAACCACTTCATCATTACTGCTTACTGTTAAACGTTTAATGTTGCCATCAAGAGGCAACATTATTTATATCATTGTAATTAGGTTAGTGCGAAACACTTTATCAAAATTCCAAGAGATGGCTGACTTAGGGGAGGTCCTGGAGATAAAAAAGACTGAACAGACTGTATATGAATCATTTAACCTTATAATGAACAGACATTGTCTGATTACAAAGTCAATACATGATAATTTGTAGTGCAAATGTTGTGAGTATACTGATAAAAAAATCACCAGAAGCGCTTAACACAGTGTTTATTATATTAGATAGGCTAAAGTCAAAGCAAACTTATGCGTACAAAGAAACAAGTATAGGGTAAATACTTTGCAATAAAGAAAACACAAATGTTGAATCAAAAAAAAAAACAAGAATAAACAAATAAAAGTTTTGACATTTAAAATTATTTAATTTATGAAAAACTATTAGCCGTAATAGAATAGAATGGCTTTTCTCTAGCTGGCCATTGCTACCCAAGCTATTTACAATATCCCAATAGTCAGACATATGATTATTTAAAGCTTCAAATTATAAAATTGACAAACTAATTCCAGGATTCAATGACAACAGCATAAGCCTATCCTAGCGTAAACAATTTTTAAAATTTACAAATACTTCACTATGAAACATACTTTATTTTAAACATCAATTCCTTTAATAAATAACATTCTTATTTGACTATCAAGTAGATATTCGACTCCTACAATGGCAATGACCGCTTAAACAAACACCGGAGTTCTTTCCGCGTTGCTGACACAGCAGGTTGCAATCGAGGCGGCAAGGTAAACGCGGCTTTGCTTCTGCCACGCCTTCTGTAAAGGATAAAGAATAATGTTACATCAAATACGAAAAATAACACAAATAAACCTTCTTAAAAACGGTGTTATAAATACTTAACATCAGGTGAAGTTATTGTTCATTTACTATATTCAAATATAAATATAAAAATTCTAATTAAATTAAAAATATTTCGTATATACATTTAGTATACTTTGTAAGTTATAGTTATAGCGTAGGCGGTTTGCTTGATCCAGGCTTTAAATTGCCTGTCATTAGTGAAAGCCTCACTGTAAGCCCGACAGTATTAGGAAATGTCTATTACGTCACTCGAAATCCTTACAAATGCCATGACGAGTAGAAATTGTCTGTAACATTACCGCTGAGCATTGTTAATGTTGTAATTATATTAAGAACAGCTTATACACTCTTATTACACTAAAAATAACTCTTGGAAGGAAATGTATAAAAAAAGTCCTTAAACACTAAGATTCTAGATGACTGGTGAATATCTTTTTTTAAAAAAAAAAACAATCTTTTTGTAAGAAAAATTACTTTAATATTGAAATTAAACATATTCAAGAGCTAAGAGGTAATCTTTATCTTCCATTAAATTTGCCTTAATATTAATAATCGAGATTATTAAATTCAAGACATAATACAACATCTAGATGTTTCGAAAACTTTTATCAAAACAACACTAAAAACATCCATAAACCTCAAGATTTATTCACCATTGGACTGACAAATTAATAGTCAAACTTTTGAACGAAGTAGTTTCTAACAATTAAGTAAATTTTATTACATAAAAAAATATCGATAATATTAAAATTGACTTCACTAGAAAGTACTTGAAGCTATTAGCCGAAAGTTTCCCTAACAATGACCATAAGAAATGTGCGGTATGTATCAAATTGCTCGCTCGAGGGCAAATTAGATGCCGAATTAGATACCTGCCCGCATTAGGTGGTTACGTGGCTTTTTAACATTCCGTAAGCGTACAAACACGATGGAAGTGGATGGAAGGTTCGCTTATAAGTTGCCTTGATGACTCCAGGGTTCGCGCATTTACGCCCCGTTACTTCGCCCACCGTAATTTGATCCCCTTGAGATAATTGTACAAGAGGCTTCTGCTAGTTTATTTATATAACTTCGAATTAATTCCTGCTACAGGAGTAAACTATAGGATTTTATTCAAGAAAAGTAACACACTCTATAACGTGTTACATATTATTGAATTTTATCAGCTTTGTACTTTTCTACGTCAATTTTATTTGCAATTTTTCTAAAAAAAGTATGTATTCACTATTGCCTAGGTAATTAAGATATATGCCATATACAAAACCATTAAAAGCAGCACAATATTTTATTTCGGTCAGGTACATTTGAATCGAAACTCGTGCCATTTAATTGGTTTACCGCGTGCTATTGTTCCAACACAATAAGACGATGTTAAGAGTATTCTCTCGGCATTTACGACCGGATAAATTATTGCTTAATTAGAACACCCACTAGAAATTGCAGTATTGTTATATTGTAAGGATTTTGTGACTTGAAGCAATTGAAATACTAATTATACATGCATACATTGGAATACTGAAACGTCAATTATATATGTTACAACTAGGGTTATAACGGAGGCCATTTTAACGTAAGCAGATGCGGAGGCGTAGGGCTTCATCTCTGCAGAAGCGGAGGTTAACGGAAGCTGAAGCATGGTCAATAATAAAATATTAATTGTGATTTATTAGGGATATAAAAACTAAAACTACGTTAATACAAAATACAGATTGGTACAAGGTACAGTTTATTATGCAAATATAATGTATAACAATTATAGTTTATATATCACGCCCGCGCGAGTCGCATAAAAAGACGCAAATTAACTTCCGTTATAACTCCGCATAAGTAATAACAAAAGCGGAAGTGGGTGCGGAGTTATCATTTCTTTTGGAAGTTCCGCACTTGCGGATGCGGAAGCGAAGTTCCGTTCAACAATAGTTAGAGCTACTTAAATGATAAGGCCACGCTTAAACTACAAATATCTTTAAATAATGACGTCTATCTAGTTGTAAATTGTGCTTACGAATCGAAGTATTTAAGATTCGATTTAACTTTTGTCCGTTGGATCGTTCAACTTTGAAATAAAGTAGAGAACTTTTTTGAGTAATTATTACAAATGGCTACTGAAATAGAATCCTCATTTTTTATACATATTTTCCTGATTTTATAAGAAAAACCAAACGTTAAGTTGCTCTATAATGAAAAACAATTGATTTTTTTTACGATTGTGCTTTAATGGCTTTTTAAATATTCAACGTTAAATTTGTATCTACATATGTCATCTATGTATTACTTTTCATTGTTCACGAATACAAGATTTGTCCCCCGCATTGGCAGGACCTGTGCAAGCAGGCGCCAAACATTTTGGAATACAAGAGACAATGTTCGCTGCAATCGCGGCGGCATTGCAATTTACTCTGAGACACAGCCCGTATTACTGAAACAAACACAAATTGTATTTAACTTACACTAGGTTTCGCCTGCGACTCTGTCCGCGTAGAAGAAAAAAAAAGTAAGTGGTTTGGCGGGTATGACTTATGTCTTATGTACGTATTATATTTTGGAAATAAAGAAATAAAAAAAGTAGTTTATGTGTTCTTTTGTAGTATCCTCTACGTCTATATTAAATTTCATCGAGATCCGTCCGACCGTTTTGGCTACAAACTCTAACAAACATCGATACATCCATGTAAACTTTCGCATTTATAAAATTAGGAAAAATACATCTAATAGACGTTTTGCAGTATAAACCGTCAATAGTTCAGTATATTGAATACCAATAGTGTCGACAGCAGTCGTTACTTCGATTCTTGACATTGCATTATCGTTGTGAACTTTCCTAGTGATGATGATGATGATGATGTCCTCCTTGACGTAACCGTCAATAACGAATCTTGCTTCCTCCGAGAGTATGATCTTAGTACAAGTGCGTGACAAGCATCATTATTTTCATGTCCTGATCCCACTCACGATTGGTACCCTAGGTTTTCGTCCTTGAGATGGAACTGAGGTGTTATCATTTAGCTGCCTACTACAATTACTTTTGCTTGTTTGCTGAAGTTTCCATTTATTTTATCGTTCCTATTGATTCATTAGTGTTAGGTTGATCGAAGTTACACCAGAGTAAAACTAAAGTAACTTACTTTGTATTTCGGAAACGCATTTCAAGATGTTATCGAACCACAAACACTAACGAATGATTAAAAGTAGCTGAGATACCGGCCATTATTGATACATGAAAAACTATAAAGGGAACAACAAACAAACCAATATACTAGAGTTTAGTAGACTATTTATTCAAATTTAATAAAATATCCAATCCGCATTAAGTCAGCCTAATTGACTAAGACATAGTCAAACTTATAGGTTACTAGTGTTCGCCCGCGACTTCGTCCGCGTGTGATTAAAAAAAAACAAAAGTGAGTAGCCTATGTGTTCTTCCAGACTATCCCCTATATCTATATCAAATTTCATCGGAATCAGTTCAGTCGTTTAGGCTACAAACTCTAACAAACATACATCCATCCGTCCATTTAAACTTTCGCATTTATATCATTAATATGATATTAAGCCGTTCGAAGACGTGCATATGCAACGAAGTATTAAAACCCTAAAATAACAAATAAACAATTTGTTACAATATTATGTAAGACTGTCGACCTCATAACACGACCACGGTTCAGTAGACAGGTCATACTTGACATTTTTATCTCTCGTCATTACTGATAAGAACGTCGACTTGCAATGTTTATAAATAACATGCACATTTTTATATAAACTCAATTATCTCTCCAAGTAGAGATAACCCTTAAAAACTCGTATTAATTGGTCCTGTTCTAAACCTTATCATAATCATCATCACCAGCTCACTATATGTCCCCACCGAAGGGCTCGGAGCCTACCCTAGTAAGGGGTGACTAGTCAACCGTGCTGGCCCAGTGCAGGTTGCATCACGATGTATTCCTTCATCGTAAGAACGTCGGGTAAATAATGTTCATATGAAAAGTCGAAAAATCGAAAATCACATCGGTACATGGTGGGATTCGAACCCAAGACCTGTAGATTACAAGTCAAGTGTTTAAACCACTAAGCCACCGACACTCGACTGTTCTAAACCTATTCGAATGAATCTTTAAAATAATCAACAATTAAAATAAGTAGCTATTATGCTTAGAATCAATCCTTATTCATTGGAATCTCTCGTATTAAGTTTACATTTACTTTCTAGAACGTTTGGTACATAACAAAACTTATATCTGTAGAACTTTGTAATTATTGCGGAATATTTATCGTCTATCGCATGACCCTTTTAATGTCTGACTTTGCACTATTTATGAACGAATAACAAAGTTAAAATCGACATGAAGCAAGCAAATAGGCCACATTTTTTTCATATAATTCGTTCTAACGAAAACGCCGTGATTTAAAAGTAAAAAAGTGAAATAAGCGATAACAAATAAAAATTGTAAGGAGTAATCACATTAGAAACTTGTTTAAAACATTCATAACCGACTTCCAAAAGGTTTAATTCCACTGGTTTTTTTTAAATGAAATCATAAATTACATTTTTACAAAAAAAAAAATATATTTTTTTGATACCGCAAATCTCAGCATTAGTTGTCCATGTATTTTTCTTACTTTTGTAACCGAGTTCATTGCTATATCCTCTAATTTAAGTAGTACAACCAGAGGATTAGTATGCAGTGAGCCCTCTAGGGAACGGCCCGCGAGCGGGAAATCCCAAAAGTAGGAATAACGAACAAGCCATACTTCCGTTACTTTTTTATTAATTGCATTTACTTATTTGATTTTATTGTGGATACAAAGTATATGTTTAAAATACTAAATAACGTATAAGAATGATATACCGCAAACAACTATGTCTGATAATCCTACATAGTAATGTAGTTTGGGCCTTGACTCAAAGTTTGATGTTAAAACTTGGTCTTACCTTAAACAGCGGTCATTCGAAATTAAGGCTCACGAGTATTCAATTAGTCATAATCTTACAAGAACAAAATGTTACTAATTTGATGTTGCATTTAATTTTTTTATATAATAAAAATAAAACAGTTTAACTTAATAAAATTATGGGTCTAAAGCATTATTACAGTCAAAGTATAACTTTAATGGCCAGAAGAGGAAGCACACGGACGGATAGAGAATATTTAGAGCCTGTCCCACCACTGGCTGATAGGGACACAGATAGCTTAAAAAATACATCACTGTCAGATAAGGTAACATAACACGATATTTCCATCGCATATTTTCCACGTTAGATTGTTATCAGACAATTTACAATTTAGTGGGACTGGCCATAACACCTCGCCTGTATTTTAACCCTTACGAAGGGATGCATAGACTATAATAATGTTATCTTTAAGATTTTATACAAGTATTATGACAGTGGAAATGCACGGTGAAACAATTGATAAAACACTTACCTCTTAACTCACACACGGCTACAATCAATAACACAAATACGTAGTAAATTTTGAAATTCATCTTTAAAATGTCTAATGTAAACGCCACAGACTGATAATTCACTTATAACCACGAATAAAAACTCTATACAGTTTTATTTGTTAAGATAACGTTCAATGACAGAAGTTTGCTGTTCGTATTTAAATAAAAACTACTTTCCTTATGTGTACTGTATATAAGCGTATGGGGAATCGGACTGAGTTTACATCTTGCCTCTCTGTCACACCGTGCAATCAAATGCTGCGGTTAATATCGTGCATGCACAATCGATTAAAAAATTATTTCAACAAACGTCAAATTTAAACATTCCAAACATCTTTTACATTTTACAATTAACAACGCATCTAAAATATTAAGAACTCTATTGTATTTTTTTATAAACTAAACCATATTTAATTTCATTCACGTCATCATTTAAAAGTATTAACAAGAATTGCAAAGTGATTTATAAAACCAATACATCATACAATAAAAATAAAATACAAAAGTTTAACGGATTATAAAAATCCATAACGCCTGTCAAAAATAAATAGCTCAGTTTATGTAGGCATCGATAGTTTTATGAAATTAAATAATAACAAAGTTAATTGTTTACACAAAATCAATCAGTATAATACATAAGGAACAAGTATTAATTAAAAAGCAATAATAAAATTATCTTTAAAAAAATATTAAATCATTTTGTTTTCCTTATTCGCTCGGGTATTTACCTGGCCGCTGGGAGCGTTGTCTGTTTAGAGCAGACATCAAGAATTTGCATATAATTGCATATTTTTAGGATGAGAGGAAAAGTAAAGTTATTGTTAACACTGCTTTGCTTTCCTACAATTTGCATCCAAATCATTAATTGATCAGTATGAAAGTTTCTTAAACTTATTTAACCATTAAAAACAAGTGACAATAAATCGAACTCGTTTATTTAACTAAAAGAGCCTGATACGTAAATAACGTCTACCCTACCTTATTCTACTTCCGTAGAACGGAGCATCGAGTTTTCTTCTTGCAAATAAGTCTATCATCCGTCATCTCAGTCATCAATCCCTTATTGATCATGTCACCTTTCTTAGTCTATCTCTACCGGTGTACCTCGATACGTATAACAAACATTTTTCCTCGTTACGTAAATGCAGAAATAACTTTATATACAGAAGTTTTTGGCAGTAATGATGCTAACTCTACAAAAATTAATTATTTAGTTCGTTACTCCTCCGCACGTCACGTTCGCATTCGACCTAGCATTGTTTGATGAAAGTTTAATTGTGCCTCTCCCTCGCCCACGTCCGTACTCTGGTCCGCTGTAACCAACTACAAACCTTCCCTTTTTTTATCAACAAAACCTCAAGACTCTTTTGAACCTTGACGTTGTAAGATAAAGAAAACATTTGTACCTTTTTTATACAATAAGGTGGCAAACGAGCAAGCGACCCGTAAATCCGCCAAAATCACGAAGCGACCGCTGCCCATAGACATCCGAAATTGCAGATGCGTTACCTACCCTAAATCGATGGAAGAGGAGATGCACATAAAGAGGATATTTCTCCTTCCACCGTAAAATCCACTTTCCCATTCAATCCTTTTCTTATGAGAAGAGGGTGAAACGGAAAAAAGCTTAAATTGGATCTCCGGCACCACACTGATCAGACGAAACGCGGAATTGCTTCCACTTGACACCTGTCTTCTCTGTGGTCATGATATTTCACCGGGCGAGTCGACCCATTCATGAGAAGATGTTAAAGTGGGCTCTACCACTGTTAAAGCTTGGTGTTGAGCAAAAACTGGAGAACAAACATTATCGCTTATATGTTTTTGTACAGATCTTTAAAATATATATTTTTTTTTTCATGTAAAATGTCAAGCACACGATAACCCTGAGTAACTAATAGGGTAGGTTGTCAAAATGCTTCTAAAATAATGAACCTCTCATAGTTTTATAGCGTATCGTGTTAAACTGGTGCGGTCCTATGTTGAAACTAGAGAATATATTTAAAAAGCTAACGAAACCCACTTTTGTATTATATTTTACACATAATTAAAACCACAAAAATATTTACAACCGAAATTAACCATCTTAAGTTTAAAATGTAACATTTAGGGCCTGTCCCACCGAAATTGTAAATTGTCTGATAACAATCCAACGTGTAAAATGTATGATGAAAATATCGAGTTTTGTTCCCTTATCTGACAGTAGTTTTTAATTAATTTTAAGCTATCTGATGCTCTATTAGCCAATGGTAGGCCCTTACTGTTTCAGGCGGTACCTTACTGTTTCAACTTGTATAGGTATTTGTCAAAGAAAACTTTATGTTAACATTAATGCGAATACGATATGAAGATATTATACCTTGAACCTCCTATCAGCCTAAAGTAAAACGTTCAAGTCAAACATTTTATTTGGTATTAATTAAAAACTTTACAGAGTCACTCGTAAAGTTTATAGCAAATTAACATACTAAGGGGATTTTTGTTTATCAATACGGTAAACCGCGGCATTAATTGAAACAAATCCCATTACCTTTGATACTTATTTATTTACAGTGTAACATTCAAAGTATCTTAGAGTTATTTTCTTTTAATCTTATGATATACGGGACATAACGTAGTATTGCAAGATTAATCCAGTTTCAGGATATTTCTAGAATATTCTATTCAAATATGACGTCACCAACAATAAGCTCATTTATTTTGAAATGAGTTTGAAATGGAATACGTTGCAGGGAAATAGAAATCTGTGATTGGTATTGCGGCGTTCCATTAGGTCTAATGGAATATTCAGAGCAGCTGTTCAGCGCCTGCCAACTTACTTCCCTCACTCTTGTGTTTTATAACCTCTATTCAGAATTTGATCTCTAAATATTTAACTAACGATTAATATTAGTTAATCATTAGTTGTGTTGTCAAGTGTCCGAATTAAGTGTTTAATACATAGATTGGTTTTCGACCCTTCTAGGTTAGGTGATTGATTACTCGGCTCATACTTATCATACTAATGAATGCGAGAGTTTAGATGGATGGATGGATGTTTGTTACAGTTTGTAGCCTAAACGGCTTATCGGATTTTGATGAAATTTGGTATAAATGTAAAAGATAATCTGGAACAGATAGGCTACTCGCACTTTTTTTAATTCCTTGCTGTTGGAGTCACGGGCAAAAGTTAGTAATAATGTTTAAGTGTGTTTACATAATAATCAACATACTCGTAGTAATAAGAAAATTGTTGCTAAGACAGATTATCAGCAGTTTCATGACTTCCTATTCGATTATAAAACAAACATAACATTAAATAGGTGAGGTTCAATTCTTTATCAAGTGATTCATATTACTTTGCAATAAGGAGCGGTAAATTCCCTGCAACGTATCTTCCCGCTTAAATAGGCCGCGCGTTCTGTTACATGTTTAGTTAACATTGCGGCTTACATGTTACAACTTTAAAGTATAACACAATGATTTCTTCATTCCAAATTGTAGTTATTGCCTTATTTTATACGGCGAGTGCCTCTGTTGTGGTCAATGTATACAATGACGGTAAGTTTCATGAAAGTGTCTTAAAATTTTAATTAGACAAACAGTTCTTGTGATTAAAGCTTTATGCAAAAGTTAGAAAATATACACAATACACAAATGTTAGCATTATTTTAAGATAATTGTTAAAGTTAGCTTACTTTTATTTTTAACTAGCTTTCGCGCGCGACTTCTTCCCCGCGAAATTAAAAAAAACAAATGCAAGTAGCCTATGTGTTCTTCCAGACTATCCTCTACATGTCTGCAAAATTTCATTGAAATCCGTTCAGCCGTTTAGGCTACAAACTCTAACAAACATCCATCCATCTAAACTATAACTATAAGCACGTGGTAATTGTCCATGGGCGCTAATATAATTATATAATCTATTTTATATGTACAATACTAACTTAGACTAAGTCAAATTTACTAACAAAATAATGGATGTATAACTGTAAAATTATAATAAATAAATAAAATAAACTTTCGCATTTATAATATTAGTTAGTTATTAATATAATTTTGAGTTACTGCATTGCATTGGTACAAAACATGTCTAACCTCTATTTCACCTTGCTCACTCGCAATGAATGTAAACATTTTGTATAGATAGTTAAACGGTTATCAATTACAATTATGTGTTTATTAATATAGCTCAATTCGTCATTAAAAATGTTCTTTTAATTTTTTTTATTTTCTAAGGTGGCAAACGAGCAAGCAGCCACTTGAAACCGCCGAAATGGCGTAGCGACCGCTGCCCATAGACATCCGCAATTGCAGATGCGTTGCCTACCCTTAATCGACGGTGGAAGGAGACGCACTTAAAGAGGATATTTCCTCTTCCTATGCGTCTCCTCTACCTTCAAAACCACTTTTCCTTCCGATCCGTCCCTCTTAAGAAAAGGGTGGAAAGGAGAAGGAGATTTCTGTTTACTTTTATACTACTTCTTGGATAAATTACTTTCCTAAGCAGTGGATCTATTATACATTGTGAGTTAATAAAAACTGTTTTTCAGGTACGGTAGAGAGCAGTGTCCAAGAAGAGAATTTGGGCAGTTGCAATCCGCAGACTTGTAGCCGTATCTGCCATGCTTTGGGTTTCGACAGCGGCATTTGTAATGGAGATGTTTGTGAATGCACTCACAGAGTCACCAAAACCGGTAATTATATATAATGCACATATAAATGTACAAGTTAAACGGTAGACTGAAACAACACAATGTATGCGAATAAACAACCATCAAGAAGCTTCACTATGTTCACATAAAATAATCCCATAGCAAAAATCTACAAAGATATTCTTTTGCAATTCTTTGCTATAATTTGGTACCACTAAGAGCGTGCTCACACTTTTGATTAAACTATCGCACAACTGTTTAGTCTCCTAATAATTCCTATAAGTTTTTATTTGCGCTACTCTTTTAGTTGTGCAACTAAACTGTTGACTTGGTTTCAAAACAATCGCACATCGCCTAATTGTTGTTCGATAGGTTAAACAAAACCGTATACAGCCCGTTCTAAAGGTGTTTATTGATTTCAGACATTGAAAATTTGATTAAGAATAAGTTGAAGAGTTGCAGCCCCCTCGGCTGTGATCAATCCTGCCGGCGCATTGGATTCCCGGGAGGTGCCTGCGTCAATGGAAAATGCAAATGCGACATTATGAAGAATGTAACAGGTAAAAAATTACGGCTTCACTTACATAGACATCGATATCATTCTACTAATTATAGTAAAGACTACAACAGTAGTAGCCTTGTGATAAGATTATCACAGTTGTATAACATTTTCAGAGAACGAAATCTCAGATGAATCTAAGCAAGTCAGTGACTGCAGTCCACTAGACTGTGATCAGACGTGCAGACGGATAGGCTTTCATGGCGGCGCCTGCGTACATGGAAAATGCAAATGTGACATACTGAAGAATGACAACGGTATATAGACCTAAATTATATTTGTAACTGTTGTATAGTTTACTGGGCACTAAAGGTGGTCCTTAATATTGATTTAGTACAAGAACTTTACAATAAAAAATTACGTTCAACGTGTTGATCATGAAATGTGATGATTTTAATTCCATAATATTAATACTTAACAGTGGTAGAGCACGCAATATCTTTTGCATGAATAGTCACCTCGGCTGGTGCATTACCAAGACTTCACAGAAGACAGCCATAAAAGTAATCCCTCGTAGTGTCTAAAGAGTGTTCATGTTTAGGCCTAACTTTAGTCGTCTTTGCCTTCCTCACCTTACATTTCCTCCTCTATCATTTAAAGGTCGCCAACGCACCTGCAACTGCGTCTATAAGTAGTGCCTATATCATTAATTTGGGTAACCCAATTGGCTGGTGCTGTAACAAATCCGTTTACTGAAATAAACGTTTGCTTACAGATAACTTAAAAAGCTCTAAGGATGTAGGAGTGTGTGACTTCGGTACTTGTAACATGATGTGCATACAAATGCACAACCACGGCGGCATGTGTTTGGGTAACGACTGCAAATGTTTTTAATATTACTATGAGAAGTAATTTTTGTACTGATCATATGAAAGTGAATTAAATGAAATAGTTGAACATCAAACAATTTGTATTGTCTGTTTTCTTCCTGTTTATTTAAAACCCAATGTTAAATCTACAAAATAGTCAAACGAAATACTAAAACCAAAAAACATTACGTCTTCATCTAGTGATGCAGGAAATTTCAACACCATGAAACAAATGTGTGATTAATATATGAAAGTCTATATGTAAATATAATGAAAAACATTCTAATTAATAAGGCTTTTATAGACAAGCTAACAAAACACAAAGCATACGCAATAACAGCACTGTTCCTAGAAATAATCGTTTTTCAGCAAACTTTTGTGAGCCTTTCAGTAGCGAGGCATAAAAGCTTGCAGTATTGTACTAGTGCCTCTTCTCTAAGGCAAATAACGTTAAAGCAAATATTTCCGTTTCATTCATTTAGAAACAAGTTATACGAAAATAATTAAACGATAAATTTATTTCAGACATATAATGGTAGCAACAGTTTTGTTTAAACAAAATACGACTTGTATAAAAGATTTACACGCCGCTAGAATAAATAAACTGATAGGAAAATCTGTCAAAGTGAATTCTAAAATATTGGATTTTTTATAGGATGAGTTTCGGGTCAATACTGACTGCTGGAGGCTTGATTTGTAACGATAAATGTTTTTCGAAACCACTGAACATAACATGTTGATTTTAGCTAGTGAGTTAAATCTAAATTTTTCTATTACAAACATATGCAAACCTATTAAGATAGAAAAAGAAGACAGTCACTAAAATGGTTTTAATTTAATTTTATAATAACTTCTTGAGATAATCAGATACGTACAAACTTGTGAGTACTATTCAATCAAACCCATCAACTTAGTATGTTATTACAGATACTCCACAGACTTCAAATTATTAGTCTCCAAAGTTATTTAGAACATCTAGTCAATATTATGTAATCAAAGTCACTAAACAAGTCTGCCTAAAGTTTGTTTTGTTTGATTCAACGACACTTAATGACAAATGAAAGAAGTTTCGGCAAGTTTTAATGAAATTCGCAAGTTCTTACTTCCAAATCAATTAGCAAGAAATGACACATGTCCAACAAACAAGATGGACAAAGTTGCGATATTACTTATTTGTTACTTAGTTTTATTAATTGCGTTTTATTTTTGGAGCTATATATGCACACATCTCTTAGGTAATAAAACGAGATATTACATTTGTGACGTCACATTATCGATTTTGTACGAAAATCAACTCGCAGCGAAGAACCTAGAGTCAAGATTAGACAAACTTTTGAAAATTGTATAAGCTATATTTCATTCATTCATCTGAGGCACTACAACCGCGGGTGGGCCTGGGCCTGGTCCAAGTAAACTTCTCCAATTGTGTCTATTTTGGGCCTTTTGCTTCCAGTCCTTGACGGCGATGTTCTAAAGATCGCGTTCGACGTCGTCTAGCCATCTAAGTTTCGGCCTACCACGCGCTCTACGTCCATCCGGCTTATTTTCCTACAGGCGTTTAGGAACTCTGCAATCATCCATGCTGGCAACATGTCCTGCCCAGTGCAGTCGTCCAATAAGTCCAATAAGCTATATCTACTTACTCCTAAATTCTTATTTTCCTGTTGCGGTGGAAACATAATTTAGTAAAATTAATTCGCACAAATAACGACTATTCCTCAACTATAGAAAAATCCAATTAACTTAAAATTATTAGCTAATTAAAGAAATGAGTAAATTATTCAAAGTAGATCAGCGAGGTAGGACGTAACCACAAAAGCTTGTAATCAGCTATGTTAATTGAAATTTGAAAGTTTACGTTGCGAATAAACGCTTTTCGCTTTGACGAGGGAATACTTAAAGGTTAAAGGAATAAACTAAGGATTACTAAGAATAATGTTCCATTAATGTATTAATCTAAATACATCAATAAACTTAATATTTATTTATTATAATTTTCTCTAGTAATATACAAAAAAAAAGTAGTTTTTAAAAATGTCGACTTAGAACAAACTTATAGAAGGAAAAAAATGCTAATACTTTTTTTAAGGTCATATAAAAAATTAAGCAAATATGTCAGTTGTTCTGTATCGAACACAAATATATCCCATCGCAAATACAAAAGGCTTTCTCTGAAAACCCTTTGAGAGTTAACTTGGAACATTATTTCATAACTTACCAGAACTTACATTACTTAACAGTGGTAGAGCCCGCTTTAACACCTTCGCACGAATGGGTCGGCTCGCCCGGTGTAATACCACTACCACACAGAAAACAGGCGTAAAGTGGAGGTAATTCCGTTTCGTCTGATGAGTGTGGTGCTGGGGGCCTAATTTTAGTCCTTTTCCCTTTCGACCCTTTTCTTAACTCTTACGAACGGATGGTAAGGAAAAGTGGATTTGACGGTGGAGGAGATGCATAGGAAGGGGAAATGTCCTTTTTATGTGCGTCTCCTCCTCCGTCATATAAGGGTAGGCAACGCATCTACAATTGCGGATGTCTATGGGCAGCGGTCGTTTTCCATTTCATTGGATTCAGGTGGCCGTTTGCTCGTGGTTCCTCTAGTGTTGCGGATGTCCATTAGCGTCGTTGACCACCTCTGTGTTCCCGCCGCTCGTTTGCCACCTTCTCTTATAAAAAAATAAACCTACTCGTATTATAATTTACTAGATTTACCACTTATTGATTACTGATTTACTCGTAATTGAAAAAGCTGAAAAACATAAAAGACAATTTCCCAATTAAGAGAAAAATATATCTATCACGATCTGTAGAACTTGTTATTTTCCTGAAAATATTTCTTAAAAATAGGTTTTCTATTAACATTGTTCCCCGTCTCAAGGTAACTACACAAATGAATCTGGAATAGAGAAAGGATTTCTCGGAATATCCCGCGGGACGTTACTTATTATTCAGATTCTACCAGAGAATTTAGATTATTTATTACATAATTCACCTTTATTACTTCAATGTTTGGCTTTATACACAACTCCTACTATAAGATTATAGTTTCAAGTGAAATTTAAATATATAACAAAATGTATGTCTATCACTTGCAACACCCTCACAGTAGTAAGTGTTAACTACGGCATCGTATCGGCATAAAATCCCGACAAGTCAAAATAATTAATAATGAAATAAATATTTTTCTAACTAAGAAAATCAATTAATTTATTCATCTCTCCGTTCTTTAAAATGCAACTTTTAACAGAATAAGGTGATAAATAAATAAGTGGCCATCGGAATTCATCAAAATAGAGAAGCGAACGCCATAGACTTCGCATTTTCAGACACGTTACATATCTACATATTAATGTCAATAATTTATTCTCAATTAAGCAGGAAGGTACAGTAAAGGCATGCAAAATATAAATGGTTAGAATTCCTTTAAACATGCAAAACCTGTCCACCGATGCCAATAAACAAAAACCGTATCCGACGGAACTTGCCGTAAAACGAATTCATTTTAGAATACAATTTGACAGTATTCCACATCAGTTAATTTACGTTGCATCCCTATAAATCTTTAAAAAAAATACAGGAATTTTCAAACACTTTCAAAAATTAAGCCAATTACAAAAGAAACTCATACTTAATTAAAAGTTTGAATTATTAACCAATGTTTGACGCTTTCTGATGAAAGAAGATCAAGCATTCTACAAACCTCTTTTTAACTTGCAAATATTAAAGATTAAATTAATAAATTATGTTATTGCACATTTCATTGGTCAGCCGACCTCGTTAACCATCTTTATTAATAAGTGTTGATTTTGATTTCCTCCCGGTATTCGCGTACAAAAAGCAAAATATTTTACAAAGCCACATCGCCTTCATTTCCTCTCCCTGGCTTGTTCAAATTTCCAACTTCATTATCACGACCACGAATTAAATTTTCTACGCCAATTTTAAATATTTCAATTACCGCCGGGCTATCTCAACAATCTTTATCTGACGGTGGAATGTAAATAGATATTCTGAAAACTGAACTCTCCCAATGGAATATTACTTTGTTTATTTTTAATTTTTGTGTACTTCAGCAATACTAAGTTTTGATAATTTGCTCTCTTCTGATTCCTACTTTTTCATTTTCTCGAGTGACGTAGCACCACCTTTAAATGATCATATCTTTTAAAAAGTTATTATTTGATACCTGAAATAAGTACATGATAAATTAGATTTTATCATTCAGAGATTGAAGCAACGTTTAAAAATAAATGAATTAAACATATTGTATATTATTTAAATTTATTTAAACTTGTAACTTCGAATCACACAAAATTTCAGAAAATGACCAAAAATAATATTTTCTATACTATTATAATAAATCGTAAACACACACTTCTGTGTTGCCTAAGATGTCAGCAATTACAGCATATTTTTGAATAATTCTTTTTTTAATAAAAAGCCCAACACTTATATGCTTTAGGCTATAAATTTTCACTTCATTAAACTTAGGGGATAAATGTTTTGTATAGAAACCCTAATGTGGGAAAGAGACTATAAGCTGCTGCCAATATCAAGGAAGCAAGGTTTGTCACAATGTCATGTCATTTTGACATTTGAAATTGATAATTTGACACATGTAAACAATATAATAAAATTTTCATACTTTTATGTACATGAAGTCGCACGGAAACAGCTAGTTATCTTATAAGAATAAAACTAAAATACTTTTGAATGCTACAATTAAATAAAGAAATTGTCTACATTACATACATATATACATGATTTCCGGTAAGAGGTGATTATAATTGCTATAAAACATTTTTAGTACTTAAAGAGAAATCCTTATTGGTTTTAAATAAGGTACGTACCAATACGGAGCTCGTATCAGACCTTTATTTCCTTAAATTGCAAGGAATTACGTTCGGAATGTTGGTGTGAAGACGCTTTTCGTATAATAAGTGCCCAGAAATAAGAAGCTTTATGGGTCGTAAAGCAAAAGTTATAGCTCAAGCAAGTCGACGGGGTCATTTTCGATGGACCTTTGCGCCGGTATTCCTTCAGTATTGAGCAACGGACCATACTTTATTTACAGGTTTTTAGTCCAATTCTT